TTGGGTTTAATATTTAAAACGATGTAAAGTACTTTCCTAACTATTTACTAATACTAGCAGTATAACGGATTAAAAATAGCCAATGTTGTTTTTAGAGAGTGAAATTCTACTTTGTTAAGCTTCAATTTGTTAGTGTATCTAAATCTGCTAGTCTAACACTCCCCTCTCCCCAGACTGACAATGCTACTGTCTAAAGGCCACACTGCTCCTTCATCCAGAGTGGGGGCACTCTAATATAGGAGGTGTGTGGGGGTGACTGGCCAAAATCAGCAGGTGAAAAACAGAGGGAAACAAGCCTAAAAAAAATGAAAACTAACACAGCCACTACATCTAATTGGTAAGTCACAGAATAGAATTCATTTTTGGTTTTGGGTTTAATACCGCTTTAAAACAGTAAATAGGGCAATGCATGGGAAACTAACAGATCGACTACAGTATTAGATGTTTTACAGAAGAAGGGAGAGTGGTGTGCGCAGGTAGAACCAGTACCACTTAGGTAGAAACATAGTCAGTGGTCAGAAAAGATTTTTTATAGTCTGTCAAAATACAACCCTCTTCAAAAAGCTGTCCACCTGCTGGATCAGCCTGACCCATATTCATGAACCTTGTCTCCCATTTCAAAAACATCAGACTGAGCAATCTCATGTCTTTAAGGTTAGTTCACACTAGATGCAGTCCAGTGCATTTTGTTTCTGCATCAAAAATGCATGCACAGTGTTTCCCATGTATTCCAATGGCCCTGGTTCTCACTAGTGCAGTCAGTTCAAGTCAGTTTCAGTTCCGATGCAGAAAAAAAAAAAAAAAAAAAAAATTAGAACATGCTGCATTTTTTCTGCACAGAACCATACTGGAACATGGCAAACTGCATCAAAACTGCACCAGAACTGCGTGTGGTGGTGTGAACTGAAAGCAAAAATGTATCTGGAATGAACCCAGAATACATTTTTTGTAGTGTGAACTGGCCCTTAAGGAGAAAATCCAGCTGTCTCCGTCACAGGTCTTGCCTCATTTTCTGCAGCTTTCAGGTCAAGTTCATTGTTTAATTCTTTGCATCAGGATGATAAATGGTGAATCAGACGCAGTGTAGCTGCAACTGGCTCTTAATAATTCTAACTAAAAAAGAAAAGACATTTGTATCTAAATCACATGTCAAATACAAGGTGGCCCCACACCTCTCCTGAAGCTGTGGCACCCTCCTCTTCTCTGCCCCCACCTTGTCACAGCACTCGACAGCAGAGAGGAAGACAGAACTCCTCCGGAAGATCCTGCGCTTCTCCGTACAGCCGAAAAGAGGCTCCCCTCTACACCTGCCCCCCCCCCCCCCTTCCCCCAACTCAGCAGTAGGCAGCACAGAGAAGGACAGAACTCATCTTACAGATCCTGCAACTCTTTACAGCACCCTCTCGTTTCGGAACTCAGCAGACTGCAGCAGCTGACTCCAGCCCTCATCTGGTCCTTCTCCCAGACCCTGCACTTTTCTACTTTCCAGCTCCAGCCCCAGCTCTGTACATCTGCTTAGAATATATTTCCACATGAAACTTTAATGGAGACTGCTCAGACAGAACAGAGTTGGCAGACCCATGTTCTGCCTAAGCAGTCTCCAATTCATTTTCTTGTGGATGATACCAGTGGTGTGTGGCCCTCCTTTTTCAGACTTGCATCATCTGCTACAGGAGTGTGAGCGGGCTCCGTACAAGTCTGCACCTACCTTTCACAGCTTAAATCTTAAGTTTATCACTAAAACCAGTAATAATCGAATGCAGAATCAAATATTCAATGTGATAAAGAGTAGATATATTTATACATTCTTACAGATAAAACCGGCCTTTTGAGGGCAACCATAATGTTGATGTGGCCCGTGATTAAATGGAGTTTGACACACCCCTGATCTAAACTGAGGTCTTAACAAAATGCTACTAGTATTTTACAGAAATAAAACTCCAATCTATGGCTTTGTTTAGACTTCCAGTTGGAGGGCGTAAAAAAAAAAATGTTCAGTTGAGCCGCGTTTTTGCTGCCTTCCAACCGCCCTTCCTTAAGCTGCAATAGGCTGTGGACTAGTATGTTTACATGACCCAGCCGCAATGCTTTGTTTTTGTGGCTAAGCTGACCCAACATGAATTGCTCGACGGGCTAGTCCATGGGGAAGCGCATGTGCAATGCCTGCGGTTGTGGTGCGATTATCAGCAAAAATGGTGTTTAAAAACAGGGCGGTGAGGAGGCATCGCATAGCTTCCTCACTGCCGGTCAGTCAGTCTCTGGAAGCAGGATCCTCATTTTAGGGGTTAATAGGGCTCTGCCTGCATAATTTTGGGTCTACGGCCACTTGGCAGTGCCAGTACATGACACCAATGTTCTTTTTAGTTGTCTGTAAGGATTGCATTCTGGCCACCACTGACAGGGGGCATTCTTCCTTCCCAATGACCATCAATATAAAGGACATCTTCTCAATTAATTTATTTTAGCAGGGGGTCCCCGAGAACTGAAATTATTTTAAAGGTTACTCTGGGGTAAAAAAGGTTGAGGAAGGCTGATATAAAAAATTGCATAGATCTGTAGCACTAATAGAAAAAAAGTGCTCAAGATGATGGGATGCTGGAAAGCATGACTCCCTTGTCATATCTACCCAGAGCTTGGCCATGACTCATACTGACAACTAATTAATTTGGTTTTTGGGTTTGCCAAGGAAACTCATTTACATATTGAGGACAGGCAGGTCTCAGGAGGAGGAACAGAAATTGGGTAAAGCACATTTGGCCATATTTATAGAATGGCCAGACAATATAGTATACATTGCTTTATTACCTGCATCTAGGGTAGATCCACCCATCACATTATTTTGGCGGTCTAGTTCATCAGCTTATCTGCATAATAAAAGAACTTCCATTCTCAAAAACAAGAATGGAATTCTTATATTTAAAAAAATATATAAATAAAATGGTTTTCACCACTAGAAATAGGAAGTAAAAGGGGAGTAACTAGAGCATTTGTTAGAGGAGTCATTGAACACACCTGAAGATAATATGAAGGAACAGACTTTACAGACCAATTCACCACGTACACTGGGCCTTTGTCTCATCATCCATGTTCAGCAAGGATTACAGTAGTGGCATGCAGATGGATTACAAAGAATAAGCTCTCATTTTAATGGTTTTCCTCTGAAAATGAGGAAATCTAAAAGATCCCTGCTGAAGAAACGACTCTGTCATTAGCCACTTTAATTCAGAGGAGGCCATGTTGTAGGCCAAACCAAAAGAACCTATGAATGATGTTCATTCATTCATATGCAATGACTGATGTCAACAAGGAGCTGCATTAATGAGTGAACCACTTTGAAGGAAACCTCTGTTAAGAGAAATATGCAGGCTGTTGCAGCTTACTTTTGAAGATGCTGCTTGCCTGGCACTCTCTGGCTTTTATTACTTGACATTGACCTGAAACAGGCATGGGACAACCAATACCCCTAACATGCATACTTGTTGTGGGTCAGTGACAGAGAAAAAAAAAAATATCCTAACGCACGGGATTCTGTATGGCGGTCAAGCAATCAGCATTTTCAGAATGAGAGGTTGTCTCTGACACATGAAACCGATAGGAATGTTACACCTAATACTTGGATCTCCGTATGTACTGTCTCTAATAAATTATTGTAAAGCTGTCTTGTTGAATTGTGACATTCTTTATTTGTTGCTATATAGTGCAGATAGTAAACAGTGGTTCCTTTTTTACTCTTCTGGTTCATAGGTAATCCATTTTATGGCTGACCCTTCCCCGTTCCTCATTAAAAATCATATCACATGCTGCTCTGTATTCCGATATGAAAATATTTTACATTCATTTTTTCTTTTACTTACAATTTTTGCTTTCCACTTCCTGGTTCACGAGGCTCTGGTGATGTAACCCTGGCCTCAAACGTATACTGGGAAGGCTACATCACCAGTGCCTTTCCCCTCCGATGACATGCACGGTTACATGTTCCAGGAGGCAGACCCAGAATTCCAGAAGTAAAGAGAGATTGATTCATCTGCCTTTAACCTCGGTTCACATCTGTGTGGGTGGTGCTGCTGCGGGACCCGCACAAATAATGGCATCTGCAACCACCACAGAGAGAAATGTGGAACCTGCGGGCAAGTGTCATTATTCCTAATGGCATGCTGCCGCACTGGAAATCACAACTAAGCTGGGAACCTCAGATCCCATGCAGGCTGCAATTCAAAAAAATAGTGCAGGGACTGCTTTCCTGTGTGTCCCGGGGCACTGCAGCCCATTCAAATTGAATGGGCACTCATGTCCACTCAAATCATGGCCTGCACGGCCGCACAGGTGTGAGCCCTGCCTTACTGAAAATTGTGAGATAAATGTAAAAGAAAAAAAATGAAAGTAGGCAAAGAATACAAAGCTTGTAATTATCTATAAATATTGGTTTGTAGATGCCATAAATAAACATTTCTCCAGATGGCTTTGTTGTCATTTTTAAGATTACAGTGAAGTTGCGCTTTATAACACTGGATGGAATAAGCTTGCAGCAAGTCAGAAGTCTTAACCTGCATATTCACCCCAAAATCTGTGTGTGAATGTATGCAATCCACACAATCAGTAGGACAGCAAGGTAACTGGCATTTTTAGAAGTTGGCCATGGCAGCCTATATACTTCCTTCAGAAAAGACTTTGTTTTATGACATCAGTTGATGTCAGGCTGCAGTCTAATATTCGTAGTTCAGAGCTGACAGTGTTCTTTTCAATGCCTTATACACAAAGACATTTTTCTTCAAAAAAGAAAATACATTTTGTTTTGATTTAAAGTGTTACTAAACCCACAACAGTAAAATCAATCTGTATATGCAGCAAAGCATGCTTGTTATACTCAACCCAATGGGGTAATCCTCTGCATTGTGTAAAAAGGCTGTTTGATCCTGTCTTCTCTGATCCTTACCTTCTTCCACAGTCCCCAATCCATCTGCTGATAGAACACAGCCTTGGGGGCAAGCTGAACATGCTCAGTTTTTGTTCTTGGGAGAGTGCATGTGATCAGCACAGGGCCAATTAGCTGTCTGTCCAGACAGTCAGGGGTCCTGCAGCCTCACAAGATAATCAGGAGAGAATGGAAACTTCTACAAGCTTTAACCAGTGCTCTGCTGGACACTGATAGAAGTCACAAGACTGCTATATATTGCTGATGAGAAAAGGGATTTAGCAGTTTATATTTACTAAAATAATTGCATTTCCATGTTCTGTGTACTGCAGAAGACTGGATATAGTGAATGCAGGGTCATAGGTTTAGTAACACATTAAGATTAGATTTCAAATGTCCAAGATAAAGTAAAACAGAAAACTAAAAACAATTATATATCATTTGACTTTTAAGATACCCACACAGGAGGGCCTCTGATTGTGCTCCAACAATCATTTTTCAACTTTAAATGGTATCCCAGTCTTAGTCCGTAGGGTTGAATATTGAGTTGGTCCACCCTTTGCAGCTATAACAGCTTCAAAGGTTTAGGATTGTGTCTATGGCAGTGGTTCTCAACCTTCCTAATGCCGTGACCCTTTTAATACAGTTCCTCATGTTGTGGTGACCCCCAAACATAAAATTATTTACCCAGTAATTATAATTCATGAGTGTTGTTTTACCTCCAATACTGCTGCTTTCAACACAGCAGCTGCTTTCTACACAGTAGCTGTTCTTTACACATCGGAAATATGTGTTTTCTGAGGTTTTAGGGGACCCGTGTGAAAGGGTCGTTTGACCCCCAAAGGGGTCTCGACCCACAGGTTGAGAACCACTGGTCTATGGGTATCTTTGACCATTCTTCCAGAACTGCATTTGTGACGTCAGGCATTGATGTCAGACGAGAAGGTCTGGTTCGCAGTCTCCACTCGAATTCATCCCAAAGGTGTTCTATAGGGTTGAAGTCAGGACTCTGTGCAGGTCAGTCAAGTTCCTCCACCCCAAACTTGCTCATCTATGTCTTTATTGACCTTGCTTTGTGCACTGGTGAGCAGTCATTTTGGAACAGGAAGGGGCCATCCCCAAACGGTTTCCAGTTGGGAGCATGAAATTGTCCAAAATGTCTTGGTATGCCGACGCCTTAAGAGTTCCCTTCACTGGAGCTAAGGGGCCAAGCCCAACCCCTGAAATGCAACCCCACACCATAATCCCCCTCCACCAAACTTTACGCTTGGCACAATGAAGTCAAGCAAGTCCTGGCAACCGCCAAACCCAGACATGTCCATCGGATTGCCAGACAGAGAAATGTGATTCGTCACTCCAGAGAACACATCTCCACTGCTCTAGATTCCAGTGGCGGCGTGCTTTACACCACTGCATCTGACGCTTTGCATTGCAATTGGTAATGTGAGGCTTGGATGCAGCTGCTCGGCCATGGAAACCCATTCCATGAAGTTCTCTATGCACTGTTGTACTAATCTGAAGGCCACACCAAGTTTCAGGGTCTTTAGCTATTGACTCTGCAGACAGTTGGCAAATTCTGTGCACTGTGCACTTCAGCATGAGCTGACCCCCAGCTCTGTCATTGTACTTGGCCTGCCACTTCATGGCTGAGTTGCTGTGGTTCCCAGTTGTTTCCACTTTGTTATAATGCTACTAACAGTTGACCGTGGAATATTTAGTAGCAATTGACTTATTGCACAGGTGACAACCTATCATGGTACCACACTTGAATTCACTGCACTCCTGAGAGCGACCCATTATTTTACAACTGTTTTTAGAAGCAGTCTGCATGCCTAGGTGCTTGCTTCTATACACCTGTGGCCATGAAGGTGGTTTAGAGGGGTGTCCCAATACTTTTGGCAATATAGTGTACATGTGTGCTGTCTTCAATTAATCCCTGTCAAGGGAACCATGAAAGTGCTTTAACAAAGAAGTAAGTATATAGAGCAGAGGATATAGGTCACAGAGCAATATCATGCATGTTTGCTTTGATGGACTCACTATTTCTGCACAGCCTTGTAAAGGTCTTTTGGGAGTCTTATACCCTTATCAGTCCTGCCTGTTGAAGTATGGCATTAGTCCCATTACCTTAAGAGAAAATTCTCAGATGCTAGACAGTTTGCCAACATAAACTTAAAAGGAAATGTACAGTCTTTTATAGCATAAAACGATTCAACTCGATGTAAGTTATCTTCCTGCTCTGCACAATGGTTGTACTTTTCAGAATGTAAAATTATAGGCTGAATGACTTATTAAAACAATGCCCTCCCTATGTGAGTGATATTTAACAGTTGTTAAAGACAGACCAAGTAAGTTCCTACTAGTGGCTAACCTATAAATCTCCATGTATAATACAATTACACACACACACACACACACACACACACACACACACTTACTTAGGTCCATATATATTTGGACACAGGCACAATTTTAGTTTTTTTTCCAGGAATTTACCAAAACATATTCAAGCTATAGTTATATAATGGATATGGGATTAAAATGCACACACTCAGGTTTAATTTGAGGGCATGTGCATCCAAATTGGAGGAAGCGTTTAGGAATTACTTCTTCAAGGGACCAAAAGTAATTGGACAATTGAATCAAAACCTGTTTCATGGCCAGGTGTGGGCTATTCCATTATTTCTTCATCAATTAAACAGGTAAAAGGTCTAGAGTTGATTCTAACTGTGGTATTTGCATTTGAAATTTTATTGCTGTGAACCTACATCATGCGTTCAAAGGAGCTGTCCATGCAAGTAAAACAGGACAATGTAAGGCTTCAAAAACGAAATAAATCCATCAGAGAGATAGCAACATTAGGAGTGGCCAACTGAACAGTTTGGTACATTCTGAGGAAAGAAGAACACACTGGTGAGCTCAGCAACATAAAAAGGCATGGACATCCACGGAAGACAACAGTGGTGATCATAGGATCCTCTCTATGGTACAGAAAAACCCATTCACAACATCCAGACAAGTGAAGGACGCTCTCCAGGAGGTGGGCGTATCAATGTCAAAGTCTACAATCAAGAGAAGTCTTCACGAGAGCAAATACAGAGGGTTCACCACAAGGTGCAAACCATTCATAAGCCTGAAGAATAGAAAAGCCAGATTAGATTTGCCAAAAAAACATTAAAAAAAAAGCCAGACCGGTTCTGGAAAAGCATTCTTTGGAGGGATGAAACTAAGATTAATCTGTATCAGAATGACGGGAAGAAATAAGTGTGGAGGAGGCTTGGAACAGCTCATGATCCAAAGCACACAATGTCATCTGTAAAACATGGTGGAGGCAGTGTAATGGCATGGGCATGCGTGGCTTCCAGTGGCACTGGGTCATTGGTATTTATTGATGATGTGACAGAAGCCGTTGGATGAATTCTGCAGTGTTTAGAGATATACGGTCAGCCCAGATTCAGTCAAATGCAGCAAAGTTGATTGGACGGCGCTTAACAGTAAAGATGGATAATAATCCAAAACACACTGCAAAAAGGAACCCAGAAGCTTTTGAAGGAAAAGAAGTGGAATATTCTGCAATGGCCAGGTCAATCACCTGATCTAAACTCAACTGAGCATGCATTTCACTTCTTCTCAACAAAATATTAAAAATAAAAATGTTATTTAAGATTGTATTCAATTGTCCAATTACTTTTGGTCTCACAGAAGTGAGTACACCCCTCACATTTTTGTAAATATTTGATTATATCTTTTCATGTGACAACACGGAAGAAATGACACTTTGCTACAATGTAAAGTGTTGAGTGTACAGCTTGTATAACAGTGTAAATTTGCTGCCCCCTCAAAATAACAACACACAGCCATTAATGTCTAAACCGCTGGCAACAAAAGTGAGTACTGGGGGGACCCGTGGTTGCAGGAAAGAAAATCGTTCCACCTATGGCCGGCTTTATTGTGCTGCCATCAGGGCCCATGCAGTGGTCTGTTTCGATGGTTACTTTTTTTTCTGCTATTGCTGTTGGAGATTTTCCCCTCACTTTCCTTCTGGTTAAACCGTTTCCAGGACAGGAAGTTGAGGAAAGCCGTAGAAACCCAACAGTAGTTCAGACCTTTCCCCACTCTATCCAAAACTGGGGGAAAAAAAACGTTTTGGTCATACCTACGCTTTGTATGTAATGACAAACACCTGTACAATATCACATTATCTAACCAGAAGTTCAGAGCTGCTACGTGATCAGCAGTTTATCAGCATTTTACAGCTTTAGCATAATAAACAGGAAAAGTAACAAGAGTGATAAGCAATCAAGGGTTACTTATAGACAGATAAGAATTCTTCAGCATTGCTATACATAAAGGGCAGGTGGATGAAAAGTACATAGAAGAGATGAGAAAAACAAATGAAGTCAACCGTGATGGCCCTTTATGATAAAATATTCACTAAACCCACATCATAAAAAAAACTATGAATAAATGTTGTATTACATGCTGTTCATAGTCATTAAGGGATTCATTTTCTGTATTCTGCAAAACTCCTGGTTGATCCTGCTGTTCTCTGTCTCCCCCCTCTGTCCATGTCCCCACTGCAGTTGGGGATTTTGCAAAGCAGTGTTGGCAGCTACTGTACATGCTCAATTTTCAGTGAGTTTTTATGCTAAGCATTTCCTCCCCATCACATCTGAGCAGCCCATGTGACTACAGAGTCACACATGGGGGCATATACACAGTGGTAAATGACTGCCCACTCCTTCCCTCCTCTTCCATGCTCCCTAACTAGCTAAAACACAATAGGGGTGGGATATTACATCTTGACTGATGGAGGCTTCACCCTCCCTGTTTTTCTAAGACACAGGCTGCAGAGGCATGACAAAACCTGTGACTGGCAGAAATACTCCCACACCATGTTATTGCCCCCCCCCCCCCCCCCCAAAAAATGATTTCAAATATATATTTGTATGACGATTAAAAACAGTTTATTGAGATTACTTCTTTTTACTCTGTATCCCAAAGGCTGCTTTTTTTATTATTATTTAAAAAAACATGTGATCAGCAGCAAGGGACTAGAAGCTACCCTACTTAGGTTTCCCGGCAGACAGGCTGGGAAAGAGCAGGGTTCCTTAGGAAAAAGGAACTTAGATGGGTTTTTTTAAATTAAAATAATTAAAGTTCCATTGTCTACATACAGAAAGAGAAGGGATAATGTATATTAAACAGTGTGTGTTTAGTATCACTTTAAAAGGAGAACTATAGGCAAAACTTTTTTTCCCCCCCATTTTGGGTAAAGTAAGGCCTAGTTCACACCAGCATATAAAGCAGGCATTTGAGGAGCGTTTTTTAATGCTCCCCAAATGCCTATGCAAATGAT